TAAAGATTTTTTATGGACAACAAACAAAAAAATGGTTCATTCTTTTTGGCAAAACAGGGCAATATTTTTCAGCCAAAGGAAGGTCATCATTGAAATTTTGTTTTCAATTTTAATCTGCAATTTAACTTTTTGCAAAAATATTTTAATATCACCATTCTCGTGAGCTCTGTAATTGCCTTCATGGCGTTATGAAAATTAAAAAAAAGGTATTCAAAGTATTCGCATGAAATTAAATATTTATTTAATAATAAGGTCTTAATATAAATATTGAGTTTTCTTATACGACCTGTAGCTCTGGCTCCGTTGCCCATTGTATAGTTTGGAAGTAATAAAATATCAATAAACAAAGATTGCGTTTTTTTTATTTATCTGAAAATATCCGAGTGTGTACATATTTTGTCTGTGTGTGGTGGCAGGAGAAAAAAAATAGGCCAAGATCCCCACTGTGTTTGGTTTAAAAGTTTTGCAAAATATTTTGCAAATACGAGCAGCGTACAAATAAATATTTTTATTATTTTATTTAATTCATTTAAATAATTTATATAAATTTATTTAATTTTTTTTTTTTTTTTTTGTAATCACAAGGTTGCAGGTGAACTGATTTTCCAATTTTGGCCTATCCAAAGGAATTCCCTTCATATATTAATAAATCATCTATCGAACTTCCTTAGGAGATCTGCTGATCTTTCCTTCGGAATATTGCGTTTAAAATGTTTTTAATTGTATAAAATAGTTTGTCCTCTTTGTTATTATTTCTGTGATGTCCTCACTTTAGAAAAATATTGTCAATCCAGAAAACCAACAGCTACAGCGATTCAAAGCAAACTATTCAAATTGAAATTGTCATGCAAAAGTAGCCAAAGCATCGAACAAAAAAAAAAAAAAAAAAAAAAAAAACTTGAGATACAGTAATTGTTTGAGACATAAGAAAGACAACAACAAAAACGTTGTGAATAGATGTCAGGGAACACCTTGACTAGATGAAGTTCAATGAACTCAAATAAAAGACAAAATATTAAAAAAATAAATTAAAAAAAAGACAAAATATTAAAAAATTAAAAAAGAAAACATGAAAGAAAGCTGTAAGTCCGGCCGGGTCGAACTTTTAATACCCTTCACGGTTTGGAACGAATTTGGCAATTTTCAAAAAAAAAAAATCAAATCCGTTAAAAATTCTGCTAAAATCTTAAAAATACCCAATGTAGCCATTACAGGGTGAGATATAAAAAAACTGTAACAAAGTCAAACTCCATAACTTTTACATTTGTTATACCCTCCACCATACTATGGAGACAACAATGTATATATATTCTTGATCAGTGTAATATTCTAAGACGATTTAGCCATGTCCGTCTGTCTGCCTGTCTATCTGTCTGTCTGTTGTAATCCCGCTATCTTTCGAACAAATTGAGATAGAAGGCTAAAATTTTGCACACATGTATAATTTGCCAGTAGGCAGGTTTAGTTCGTAAATGGGCCATGTAGGTCCAAGTTGTCATATAGCCCCCATATAACGGTACCTCCCTCGATATTCGGTATTTTGATGATTTTAGCGACATTATTCACCGGAATCGTTCCAAATTTGGTATTTGAAGTTCGTAATAGATACTGCCACATAAAACATAAAATGGGCTATGTAGGTCCACGTCTTCGTATTGCCCCCATATACCATACCCCCCGATATTCGATATTTTGATGATTTTAGCGAAATTATTTACCGGGATTGTTTCAAATTTCGCATGTAAAGTTCGTAATGGATACTTCAGCCCATGCCAGAAAATTGTCTGTGCAGGTCCACGTCTTCGTATAGCCCCCATATAACGGTACCACCCCCTATATTCGGTATTTTGATTATTTTATCTACATTATAAACAGATTTTTCTTTAAGTTTCGCATTTAAATATTGTAATAACTTATGACAAAAGTTGCCTATGCAGGAACACGTCGTCGTATAGGCGTTCGGTATTTTTAAGATTTTAACAGTTTTTTTTAAAGGTTTTTTTTTGGAAATTGCCAAATTTGTACCGAATGGTGCAAGTTATTAAAAGTTCATCCCGTCCGAACTTACAGCTTTTTTACTTGTTTTAAATTTTATTGAATGAAAGCAGAACCTGTCGGAAATAGCATCAAATTTTCGAATAAGTTTCGATTTGTTTGAATTGGTCACCTTTGGCACGAATTATGGCCTTCAAACGGACAATGAAAACGCCGTCACACGCTGATCGAATGTTGCTCTGCGGTATTTTGGCCCATTGCCGGCGAAGCGCTTGCTTGAGGTGACCGACACTTTGGTATTTTTTAGTGCTAACCTTGCTTTCCAAAATACTCCAGACACAATAGTCCAATGGATTGGTATCCGGAGATTTTGGTGGCCATTGTGCGCTGGAAATGAAGCGAGGAACCTTATTTTGTAACCAATATTGGGCTAAGTGCGATCTAAGTGCAATGGTGCTGAATCCTGTTTTGCGCGCCCAATAATATTCCGCATTTATTCTGATGATATATCGCAATAATATTAGGCATTTATTCTGATGCCACGGTCGATAAAAAAGAGCAGAGAGCAGTCATCGGCTGTTATGGCGGCCCACATCATCACCATGGCCGGCGCCTGAGTTCTGGTGGCCAACCGAAGGCGCACATTTTCAGCTGACCTCTTTGGCAAGCAAACACGATCATTTTGATTCTTTACAAACTGCTGGACAACGAATGTTTTCTCATCGGAGAAAACCAAATTCGGCAGTTTAACACTTTCGCCCAAGCGAAGCAACTCTTTAGCTCATTTCAGTCTATTTTCTTTCTGCTGCGGTTGCGGTGTAAGTTTTTGCACTCTTTGGAATTTCAATAACTTTACCCCGAGCTCATTTTTCAATATTTGCCGAATGGAATATTGCAATATGTTCAGGTCACGAGCCATTTTTCGGCTACTGCGACGCGGGTTTCGATCAAATCGCTTCTTTACTTTTCGAACCATTTCTGCTGATGTTGCTGCTGTTTTCTTCCGTCCACTTCCTTGACTACCAGTATCACGGTAACGAGGGATGGTACGAGACACAAGCGATTTATTTACATTTAAATGCTGAATGATAGCCACTTGTGGTTTTCCAGTCAAATATAAAGAGATCACACTATCACGCTTGAATTCCATCACAAATAACTTTTTTTCTGGAATTATTCTCACCAAAATGCTTTTGTGCGCTTGTAAACAATGTAATGAGCTGCCACTGGAATAATTTGAATAGCTGTCGGACGAGTGGCTTAGAAATGACAGCAGCCTGAAGTTGGTTGCAGTATTTTCATCTTACCCTGCATATTCCATCTTCTTACCAGACCTTGTGTTGATAGAAATTTTGAAATGTGTCGAGTTTGAAAAGAATCGGATGTTGATTTCGAATTTTATGAGAGTTATTGGTATTCCAAACATTTGAACTGTTGTGAGGGAGGTCCCAAAAGGCGTGGACAGATATAGCTCATTTTCGAACTCAATCTAAGTTTGATAATAATATTTTAATGTCCCAGACTCGGACCGAATCGGATCCCCCTTTCAAGAGTTATACTGCGCACCAGCCAACTATATCGGTGGACGGACGACGGACACCTCTATATCGACTCCAAATGTCTTGAAAAGGATAAGGTCCAAAGAGACCTAGATTCTAAAACCCTTATTTCGAGGAGAATATGTCGGCCCTATTAAATCTTATATACCCTATGTGGCCATATGGATGAGGTTGTAAAAAGCTTTAATTTTCAGGCAAAAAAAAAAAAATAAATAAATAAATATGTTTTTTTTTTTTTTTTTTTTTTTTTGAAAATTGTTGCCGAATTGAAAATTTTATTTTTAAATCATTTAAAAAAAATAAAAATTTTAATAATTGCGATCGGAACGGAACAGCTAATGTAATACCCCAATTCAGCAATGAGCTCGTCTAATCACCGAACGAACGTCTTTGTAATTGATGCTGCCTTTGCCTCTGCAGCTGCAGCCACAGCATCATTCGTCTCTTGTTATTGGTACTGCTTGGTTTGGGGTCCATCCGTCCGTCCGCCCGCCCGCCTGTCGGTCCACCAGTCCATCTGTGGGTCCACTCTGCTTTCTGTGATTTTTTTTCTGTGCCAATAACAATGATTGTTTGTCTGTCGGTGTGTGTGCGCTCGTCTTGAATTGCTTGCTTGGGATGGTGACAATTCAACAACAACAACACCACCACCATCAGCAGCCGACAGATCGCTTGGTCGGTCAGCTACATTTTGATCAGCCTACAAGCGAGTGAAGAATATACTCTGATTTTATTTAACCCAATATATAAAAATACTTCAAGCTAAAAAGCAATAAGAGCTAACTAATATTTTTTTTCAAATTTACAAAATTCGATTTTTTTTTTCAAATATTACTCTTCTTCTTTCTTTGAAATGTGCTTTAAATTTTGTTTCTTTTAAATGAATCTTGTATTTTTTATTTTGTTTAAATATTTTTATTTGTTACAACTCATTGTAATTTTAAATAAATTTATTTATTATTGTTGTTGTTGTTATTATTTTTTTTCTTCTCTATTGCACATTCTGTACTGTGATTGTTGTTGTCATGTCCATTGTTAAATAAGTGTCTGATATTGAGGTTGGTCCGCTGGCTGTGCCATAAGAGAGGGCGTTGGACTCTAACTTTATCAGTGCGACGACACACAAACATCCACACACACACATTCAGTGAGTTTTTCCTTGAGGGCAAATTGAAATCATGCGTCGAATAAAATGCACAAACAATAGCAATAACAACAACAACAATAAAAATCATAATAATAGCAACGAGAAGAATAGCTAGCAAGCCAGCTATTCCAAGTACCATCACCAGCATCCAGTCCAGTTACTTCAAATTAAATTGCAATTGAATATGATTTTCTACAACAACACCAGTAATAAAAATCACAACAACACGAACAATAACATTAATAGCTGTTCAACATTGTCAGATAACTTATGATTTTTGTTTTTGTTGTTTCTTCTAGGTATGCGTACCGCAATGTCCACCATGTCAACAATGAACCCGCGTATCCATCGTAAAGGTTTTCGGACGCCCTCCAAAAGGCATCCGGGCAAGGCATTTCCTGGTAAATTGCACTCAATGTCCAGGGTAAGTAGAGTACAATAATTGAGGATTCAAAAAAAAAAAAAATAAATAAATAAAATAAAATTAAAAATAAAATATAAAATAAAAATAAAAAATAAATAAATTAAAAAATAACAAAATTAAAAAATTTAGATAGTTTATTTATCCACAAACGTGGATAAAAAACTAAACACAAAATTTATCCGCAAATGGGGATATTTAATTTATCCACAAATATGGATAATATATTTATCCACAAATGTGGATAATCTATTTACCCACAAATGTGGATAATAAGTTATTCACAACTGTGGATAATTAGTTTATCCACAAATGTGGATAATATATTTATCCACAAGTGTGGATAATATATTTATCCACAAGTGTGGATAATAAGTTATTCACAACTGTGGATAATTTTTTTCACATGGATAAAATAACTTATCCGACAATTTGGATAAAATAACTTATCCGTAAATGTGGATAATATATTTAGCCACATACGCGGATAATTAGTTTATCCATAATCATGGATAATTATTTTATCCATAATCATGGATAATTAATTTATCCACAAGCATAATTAATTTATCCACATTTGTGGATAACTAAAAAAAAATTATCCATACACGTGGATAATTACTTTATCCACCAATGAGGATAATTCATTAATCCACAAATATGGATAAAATAACTTATCCGCAAATGTGGATAGATAATTTATCCACAAATGCAGATAACTTATTTATCCGTAATCGTGCATAATTTATTTATCCACAAATTCGGATAATTTATTTATCCATAAACATGGATAATTATTTTATCCATTTATTTGGATAATTAATTTATCCACAAAGGTGTATAATATAGTTATCCACAAATGTGGATAAATAATTGACCCTTATCAGTGGATAATAAATTTGTCCAAAACCTGGATAAATAATTTATCCATAAAAGCGGATAATTTTTTTTATCCACAAATGCAGATAACTTATTTATCCGTAATCGTGCATAATTTATTTATCCACAAATGCGGATAATTTATTTATCCATAAACATGGATAATTATTTTATCCATTTATTTGGATAATTAATTTATCCACAAATGTTGGCAAAATAATTAAACCTTATCCGTGGATAATAAATTTGTCCAAAATCTGGATAAATAATTTATCCATAAAAGCGGATAATTTATTTATCCACAAATGCAGATAATTAAGTAATAAATAATTTATTCACAAATGGATATGTAATTTATCCACAAACGTGGATAATTACTTGGATAAAATAACATATCCGCAAATGTGGATAATCAATTTATCCACAATCGTGCATGAGTAATTTTTCGAAAAATGTGGAAAATTAATTTATCCACAACCATGAATAATTGATTTATCCACAAATGCGGATAATAAATTTGTCAATAAAAGCGGATAACCTATTTATCCACATTCGCGGATAATTATTTTATACACAATTGTGGATAATTTGTTTATCCACAAATGTGGATAATTTATTTATCCACCAATGTGGATAAAATAACTTATCCGCAAATGAGGATAATCAATTTATCCACAAGTGTGGATAAGTAACTTTTCCAAAAACATGGAAAATTAATTTATCCACAAATGCGGATAATAAATTTGTCTATAAAAGTGGATAACCTATTTATCCACACTCGCGGATAATACACAAAAGTGGATACTTAATTTATCTACAAATGTGGATAATCAATTTATCCACAAATTTGGATAAAATGTCTTATCCACAAATGTGGATAATTAATTTATCCACAAACGTGGATAACTAACTTTTCCACAACTGTGGATAATTTTAACCGCCAATGTGTTTTATCGATTGTGGATAATTTTATCCGCGAAATGTTGGGTTTTATCCAAAAAGATGAAAAATCTTAAATTCCATTTCCTCCTTCTTCTTTTCACCACTTTCAGATTGGTCCCGGCAAACTAGTCCCCGGCAAGCGATTTCCCCCGCGACCACATCCGCCACCCTGTGATAATTCCAATGATAGTGGTTTCGGGTTCGATCAACATGTTGAAATACAACAGCAGCAGTTGCATCAACACCAACATCAGCAGCAGCAACAACAAATGCAAACAAGTAGCCCTAATTCAAGTACAAATTTAAGCAGTAATTTAAGTACCTCTCCCAGCAGCAACAGTCTCCACATACAACAACAACATCAACATCATCATCATTCTCATCACCAGCAGCAGCAGCAGCAACAACAACACCAACAAAATGTCACAACAAATCTCAACAGTAATACATCAGCGTCGTCGTCATCATCATCCTCGTCGTCCTCCTCCTCCTCTTCGTCGTCATCTGTGGCGAATTCTTCGCCCGGAAATTTGCAGCATTCACCGCAAACACAACAGCATCAACATCAATTGATTCGCGCCATACCTGCCTCAAGGTAAGTGATTTAACCCCTCTTACCCACACTCCCAAGGTGTGGAGGGGAAGTGGAGTAATAAAATTACGATTTCAAAATCGAGCGCCACACCAATCATTTATCTGCAAAAATTCACACACAGTTCAGCGCTGCGCCCCACCAGAATCACCAAACACCCATCTACCCAAATCTCTCCAAGCATTTCCTTCATACTTCTCACCCACCTCCTATCCATCCCTCGAACCATCCATCCAATTGATTCTTGGAAATCCATTTGGCAATTTTTTGGCAATTTTTTTAACACTTTGCCCGCCAGCCCGAACGAACCAAACACTAACTTGTTTTATTATTTTTTTGTTGCCATTGATCGGCATTCCGTTGTTGTTTTATTTGTTCAAAATATTATTTGTTATTATTCTTTTGCTCTTTGCCTCCTCCCTTTTTTTCATTTGTATTTTATTTAGCAAATTATTATTTTGTTTTATTTATTTTCTATTTTTTGGGTTAGAAACCGAGGCGAAGTTTTGAATGAAATATTTGTGGGCTTTTACGTTTTCCCCATTCAGAAATCTATTTTTTTTTTCAATTCTCCAGTGACAAATTACGCTTTAAATTATTAGATCGTGAAAATGACATATGTTAGGGTGCCCACTTTGAGAAAAGGATGTTTAAAAGCATTTATCCATCCAAAAGGGGTCGTAGCAAGTCAAAATATTCGGCAAAATTATTTTTCTTAAAATTTCACTACATGTTCCAATACATCAACTAGTAAAGAAAGTCTTAAAGTCGGCCGGGGCGGCGCAAAACAATTAAACGTTTTTATGGGAGAATTCAATTCGGACTGATATTATAATTATAATTTAAACTTCAAAGAACTAAATATGCCGAAGCATTTGTATCTTTTAAATTCGGATTTGTATTGCCCATTTGGTGCACAATTAATTTGAAATCGGATAAAAATATATATGGGAGCTATATCCAAATCGGAACCGATCTCTATAAAATTTGGCAAAGATATTTCTGAGGTGTATTTGCGGAGGACAAAAATAGCAAATCGGATTAACAATATATATGGGAGCTATAGCTATATCTGAACCGATTTCGATCAAATTTGGCATACTTACCAATCTGATCGTACGTGCAAAATTCCATACAATTCGGACTGATATTACATGTTCGGTGCACAATAAAAGGCAAATCGGACGAAGATATATATGGGAGCTATATCTATATTTTGACCGTTTATCTCCAATTTCAATAGGGTTCGTCCTTGGGCCAAACAAATGATTTGTGCAAAATTTCATCTGGATAGGACAATAAATGCGAACTGTACTTTGTTTACAAAAATACATGGACAGAGGGACGGAGGACATGCATAAATCGACTCAGAATGTGATTCTATGCATATCATCAAAAGGAACCATGGGTATATCTCGTTTCCTTTTGCCTATTACAAACAAATGCACAAAGACATAATACCCCGACCACCTTGTGGTGTAGGGTATAAAAATTGGGGTTCTCTTGATTTCGGTTAAAATATAATAAATTTTTAATTATATCCAAGGCATGTGTAATACTTCGAATTTTGAAATTGAGAATTGGGAAAAATCAATTTTCGCTTAACTGCCATTAATCTTTTTCTTTCACTCACTCACTCGTATTTATAACTAATTGTTCCCTTTGCTGTTTACAAGCATTCTTTTGCTTGTGTATGAGTGTATGTGAATGGACGTGGTAGCCATTTCGTTGGAATATTTTAAAATAACATGGATTCTCCAAACTTCCATGTATAGTAGATGAGAAGCTATAAATACGAGTGTGTGGGAAGTCATACATTTTAGTTTAGAATTTAATCGCGACATGTAAACCCTAATTAAACTGTGCAACACAGAAAACAATTACAGGGAATATTCAGCAGATTATGAAAGTAGAGCAAAAAAAAGAAAGCTTGAAGGTTTAAATCGCAAAATTACCTAAATAGAGGGGACAAGTTCCCCCCTCAACAACATTTTTTTTAAATTTTCAGATTGAGATTCCATGGAAAACGTTCACTTTAGGTATATAGTGTCTTGGGCAATATTACAGATAACAATGCGAGGATTATTTTGGTCGAAAATGTTAACCCTCAAGCGAGTCAACAAAGGGGTATTTTTGGTCCTTTTTCCAAAATATAGTTAAAAACTCCCATTAAACGAGATTGTAGGAAGTGAAAATATTCTACAAAATTATTTGTCATAAAATTTTACCAGACACCTCCTCAGAAGACACCAAAAGTCTAAATTTATTCTAAATGTCAAAAATAAATAAATAACATAAGTAAATATTAAATACTCATTTTAGGGTTAGCGCCATACCATGTGTGAGTTTGTACAAAAATCTCCAACAAAGCATCATTTTATAAGGATGACGTTAAAGACGAAAACATTCTTCATCCAATTTCACTATAAGTCACTTGAGAAAAGGAAACTTTAATTTCATTATTTCTCTAGAAAATATTGACATCAATTTTGCAAAAAAGCCCAAAATATTCCGAATTTTTTGATAAATTTTTCCTTGGCCTTTTTTCGTATTGAGGTATCATAAACTTTCGGTTTAGGCAGAAGCTGTCAAAATAAGATATACAGGGTGAGAAAAAAAACTGCAACAAAGTTAAATGCCATAATTTTTACATTTTTTTCTAATTTTATTAAATTCAAGCAAAAAAATTCGGAAATAGCATCAAATTTTAGAATAAGTTTAGATTTGTTCGGATTGGTCAACTTTGGCACGAATTATGGCCTTCAAACGGCTAGTGAAACAGTCACACGCTGCCCGAATGTTGCTCTGCGGTATTTTGGCATATTCCCGGCGAAGCGCTTGCTTTGGTATTTTTTAGTGCCAACCTTGCTTTGCAAAATACTACAGACACAATAGTCCAACGAATTGGTATCTGGAGATTTTGTTGGCCATTGTACGCTGAAGCGAGGAACCTCATTTTGTAACCATTACTGGACGGCAATGAATGTTTTGTCATAGGAGACGGAGAAAAGCAAATTCGGCAGTTCACCACTTTTGGCCAAGCGACGCAACTCTTTAGTTCTTTTGAGTCTATTTTCTTTCGGTTGCGCTGTAAGTTCTTGAACTTTTTGCAATTTCAATAGATTTACCCCGAGCTCATTTTTCAATATTTGTCGAATGAAATATTGCGATATGCTCAGCCCACGAACCATTTTTCGGCCACTGCGACGCGGGTTTCGATCAAGTCGATTCTTTATATTTCGAACCTTTTCTCGGCTGATATTGCTGTTCTCTTCCGTCCACTTCCTTGACGTCGGGCTACGCTACCAGTATCAAGGTAACGAGAAATGATACGAGATACAAGCGATTTATTCACATTTAAATGCTTGAGTGCTCTAACGATAGCCACTTGTGGGTTTCCAGCCAAATATAAAGAAATCACACTATCACGCTTGAATTCCGCCACCAATAACTTTTTTTCTGGAAAATTCTCAACAAAATGCTTTGGTAAGCTTGTAAACAATATAATGAGCTGTCATTGGAAAAATTTTAACAGCTGTCGGAGGAGAGGCTTGGAAATGATAGCAGTCTGAAATCGGTTGCAGTTTTTTTTTTATCTCACCCTGTATATATGTGTCTCTCCCTTACTTCCCATTGTCCGCATCACATTTTCTTGTAATTTTTCCTCCAAGTGTAATTAAATTGTATAAGCCTAATGCCACCTTAGCCATCGCTGTGTGTGTGTGTGTGTGTGTGTGTGTATATATATGTACATATACGTATGTTCGAGTTTGTTTGCAGCTCGCTTACGTCGTATAGAATATACACATACATATATACATAAGTTTGTAGCAGAAATAAGAGAATGAATGTATAGGAATTACAAATAATCATTTACTCGAAGCGTGTCACATTCGAATTTAATCTAAAAATAAAACAAATAACAAAATTTTTGTTTGAAAATAAAAGCAAAACAAGAAAAAAGTAGTAGTGGTGTAGAAAAATGCAAAAAAGTGGCGGATCAGTGCCGAAACTGTTTTATTTTTACAACATGACAATGTGAATGAGGCAAGACAACAATTTTTGAGAGGATCAATTTGATAAAATGTAAGGAAAAAAATATAAGAGGATTGTAAAGGAAGAAAGAAGGAAAATGTAATATTGATTTCTGTAAATGAAACAAGTAAAAAAAGCTGTAAGTTCGGCCGGGCGGATCTTTGAATACCCTCCACCATTTAGAGCTAATTTGGCATTTTTCCAAAAAAAAAAAAAAAAAAAAAAAAAAACAGTAAAGAAGGTTATAAAGTCGGGCGGGGCCGACTTTATGATACCCTACACCAGTTTGCTAATTTTGTAGAGCTGCGCATAACAATTAAAAGTTTTTATGGGAGAATTCAATCATACACGCTATGATTATAATTATAATTTAAGGTTCAAAGAACTAAATATGCCGAAGCATTTGTATCTTTTAAATTCGAGCTTATATTGCCCATTTGGTTCACATATAATTTGAAATCGGATAAAAATATATATGGGAGCTATATCCAAAGCGGAACCCATCTCGATAAAATTTGGCAAAGATATTTCTGAGCTGTATTTGATATATTTCCCTGAATATCGTGGGTATGCACTCGTTGGAGTGCATATTACGGTTGTGGGTAACAAATATGACAAATCGGGTGAACAGTATATATGGGAGCTATAGCTATATCTGAACCGATCCTCACCAAATTTGATATACTAGCTTCTAGACTCAATTCGGTCGTAAGTGCCAAATTTCATCCAATTTGGCCAAATATTAGACGTTTGGTGGACAATCAAAGGTAAATCGGACGAAGTTATATAGGGGAGCTATATCCAAATCTTAACCGATCTCGATAAAATTTAGCAAAAGTATTTCTGAGCTCTATTTGATATATTTCCCCAAATATTGTCGTTACAGAGTGCATATTACGGCTGCGGAGGACAAAAATAACAAATCGGATGAACAATATATATGGGAGCTATAGCTATAACTGAACCGA